AATAAGTCATACAAAGAAAGACAGATACCATATGTTTTCACTCTCATGTGGATGTTAAGAAACTTAACATAAGACCATGGGGAAGGGGAAGGGCGAAAAAAGTTACAGATAGGGAAGGGTGCAAACCATAAGAGACTCTTAAAACTGAGAATAAACTGAGGGTTGATGGGGGCTTGGAGGGAAGGGAAAGTGTGTGATAGGTATTGAGGACAGCACCTGTTGGGATGAGTACTGAGTGCTGTATGGAAACCAATTTGACAATAAATTTCATATTAAAAAAAGAAAAAGAAAAAAGTGGATACTATGGAGATATACATGTATCTCAGTGGATCAAAAGCTAGATTGGCATCATATCTATCTGCATTCCAGATAAATACTTTGCTGGAGTAACTTGTTAAGCTTTCATTTGAAATGCCCATATTAGCATATATTTTAAAAACCTCTTTTCATAATTGAGGGGAATATTTCTTCTCCATGGCAGCAACTCAGTTTTTCAAACATAACTATCAAATGGTGAGTTACTTAAACATGGATAACAAAGTGAATATGTAATAAAAAGAGAGTCAGATGTCTCTGATCAGGCATAATAAAAGGGCTTAAAGTAAAATCTCCAAACACAGGCACAGAAAAACTTTAGGCTGACATGTAATTTAGAACATCAAATAAACAAGTCTCCGGTAAACATAATTTTTTTTACTACTATAGTAATTTATGCAAAGACAGTATAAATCTATTTTGTTCAGGAAATATGGATGCAGTATACAGTACTGGGATGTTAATTCAGTTACTATCTAATATTTATGTCAACCACATAAGCAAAAATTATTTTACCTTTATTATCCCTTTTGATGGTGGGTCCATTATCCTGATCAACAATAAGTTTTTCTCTGTTGTTGGGCATCATGACTATAAAGAAAAGACATAACTGAGTAATATTTTTGCAAAGTACCCAAAAGAAAGACATAAAAGTATTACATAAATAGCTATTTTACTCCGATAAGTAGTAACATGAATTGTATACACCTCTACTTCTGAAACAGTGGAGAAATTTGGTCTGATGATTATATAATTTAAAAATTGATAAGCTGCTTTAATCATGTGAATTTTTAAAGTGGAATTAATATATGGCACATATATAATTGCCCACATATTTTCTTTAAATCATTTTAAATATTTCCTCTTTTAAAATACATATGTAAATTAGCTATTTACCTGAATAATTAATAATATATTTCCCAAAGTATTTCTGGAAAGAATTTATCACTTAATTTTGTGAGTTTAAAATAATTATGCATTTAACTCACCTTATAAAGTTTTTGCAAATATATACAGCAAAATTAAAAGGTGAAGTCTAACTTTCTGGTAATTATTATAAATGCTCCTTCACAAAATATTTCTATTGAAAGAGAAATACATGCCAATTTTCATACTTGATCATTTAATTAATTTGTGTTATATTTTATTAAAATATCATAATGTTCTATAAATAAAATATGGTCACTATAAATGAATCATCATTAAATATTTGTATTCATTTAGAGACAATCTCACTATCATGTCTGTACAACTGGGAATGTGCTTAGATAGCCTAATTACTGCCAGTGCAATAAGAAATGTTTTTACGTGGTTAATATATTTTTAAGAATACTACATTGATTTGAAAATATTTGATTTTACTTCTAAGTGTAAGATATCATTCTCTTACAATGTATCTATCACAAAATATATTTCCCTATTTGCTTTGCTTTTAGACAGCACTCAATAATCTCTCTTTTTTTTCTCTCCCACCTCTCATCAATACAAAGATTATCCTGACAGAATAATGTATGTTTTGGTTTATTGATTCATCAATGGTCTTATGGCTATATCTGCTTGCCTTGCTCAGTCTCCCTTGAATCAGTTGCACAATGTTGTAATAATCAGGTGGTCTGTGTCCAAAAGCTGTGACAAAGTAAAGCTAGAAGATCTGTCACCTCTTCCAGGAATTAAATTTACTTCCTTAGGGTCACTAGCTGCAAGTTCTAGCTCAGTGGTTCGTAACTCTGGCTGCATATTAGAATCTGATGAAGAGATACTGAAAATAAAAACAAAACGCTGCTGCCATGCTTTATTCCAGACTAGGTAAATCAGACTCTGAGCATGTAGTCTGATCATCCAGATTTGTAAATGCCCCACAGAATTTGCAATTATAATGGGGAGCCTGATTTGAGATTCATTGGATATACTATGAGCCATAAACAATGTGTAATATTGACAGGCTAAGTGAGACTTGCATGAATTTCCACAAGGGAGAAATCATATTCATCCTTCCCTAACACAAATTTGGAACCTAACACCTCCACTAATCCCTCAAATTACTCTTCTCCCCCGCACCGCCCACCAAAACATTATTTTGAAGAGGCTTAAAGCAATCACTATTACCATGTGTAAAAATTTAGAGTTTACATAATGAACATCCATATAGAGTAAGGCTAAAAGAAAAGCAGAAATAATTTTTCCTAAATGAAATGGATATTTAGGAAATTGGATTGTGTAGGTACATAAGATTAACAAATATTTTACCTAACTCAATTGGTTCATAATTATTATATACTAAAGGAGAATTTGTTACAATATGGTAACATCTGTATACCTGAGTAAAATCAGACAGCAAGGGATGATAAATAATCAAGGTAAAGCCACACAGAGAAAAATAGTGTTTGTCCCTCACATTCCCTTAGCACTTTAAGTTTCTGAAGTGTTTTTCCACATATTATTTCATTTTATCTCACAAAAATCCAGTGCCTTAGGCAAGGAAGTAATTATTTCTATATATTGGGTAAATAAATTCATAATGGTTAAGTTACATACCCAAGTTACATTCTCATAGCTAGTCACCACTGGAACTATGGCTATATTCAAGTCTCCCATATGCCACATCACTGACAATAACACTATAGTATTTCTGGAATAGTATCTCTGGTGTAAGACTTGTGAGATGATAAAAAAATAAAGGGAAAGGCATGTTAAATACTTGTGATCTAAATTATTGAGATTGTAGCAAATTATATATTGATTCACTTTTTAATCATTCTAAATGATCAACTGTTTAAAATATATTTTATCTTTCATTATTCAAAGGATGCTGTGAATGTAGCAAGTATATTGTATCACATAAACTGTTATATACCAACATACTGAACTAGCATATGCTCTACAAAAATCCCATCATATTGTTCCCTGGAATCCAGTGACACAGTAAATAAAGGCCCTTTCTGAGAAGAAACTTACAACACCTTAAGTTTCATTTTGTCGTTCATATTGCTTCAGCAATAAAAAAAAGGTCACTTCAAAAAGCCATTTTTTAGGGAGGCATCAGCTCCCCAGCTTCTTTCTCCACTTTCTATTGACTAATGACGAATTTCCTGAAAGAATTTCTTTAAATTCCTTGTTTTGGGCGAGATACTTACCCGTCCTCTCTGAATGGTGATCCATCTGAGAAGGAGAACTGGACACACTGCTGCTGGGGTGGGAGGAAATTTGACTCCCAGGACAATGATTATCTTCCAGAGAGGGAACAGGAGAAGGACTCTCTGGGATCCGTTCCTGACACAAAAGGAGACACAAAAGGAAATATCATCTGTGCACCAAGTTTTTCATGTTGGTTGAGTCCATGACATTTGAAATGTTGACCTCTCCCTTATCCCAAAAGCAGGCATGTTCATGATACCTGGTATTTAACATGTAATTTTAGACAAATACATATTTTCTTGCAAAATTAATGAGATATTATGAGAATTTAATAAGAGAGGGTGAAAGCAATAAGCATGATGCTGATATATGTTAGAGGTTTAAGAAAAGTTAATTTCCATTTCCTTTCTTAAGAAATACATTAAAATTTTACCTTGATATTTCCCTATGAACCTATTCACTGTATCATTTATGTAATAGCCAAGATTGGCATTTTAATGATGATTTTATTAATATAATGGTATGTCAGAATAAAATATGTAATAATGAAAAAAAGAAATACATTCTATATTATGAACATAGGTGTGCAGTGAAGAATATTATCATTGTAAACGTTTATATTTATATAAAGTATATACCAAGCATGGAGGGTGATCCTCCTCTCTAAGATATCCCTAAGGTAAACACTTGAAAACCTAGGAATAAAAATCACAAATAGTGGCATCTGGTACACGTTGAGTCTTTCCGCACAAATAAAAATTACAGAAACAGTATACACCTCCTCTATCAGACCTTAGAAATTTATTTTGAATTCTCCCAGCAAAATGGTTTGGTAATCACAGTACACAATGATGGTTTTGCAAACTAAAACTAAGACCTATGAATATCAATTGCTTAGTATTGTTTAGACATTTATAGTTTTGAATAATGAATTTGAATAAAAATAAAATATTTATTTTACATAGCTCCTCAGTAACTGTTAATAGTCCTCAAGACTTTTATGATTATGAATATTGCTATAAATCTCTGAAGTTATTCATTATGTTTATACATCACAACTTGATGAATAAATCTGACAATCATTCATTTAATTTGATCACTAAAATAACCAAATTGCTGTTTTATGCATTTATGCAATAAATGTGAATGGGTAATAGACATGCTGGGACAGAGAATGTCTGTTCTATAAAATATTTAATTCATCCTTAATAAATTTCTTAATTGTTCTAATTATCTATAATTACAACATCAGTATTCGAATCATAATAATGTTAAAAATTAATTTGTCAAATATGTGCTTATACATTTTCACATTGATTTTGCCTGAGAGGTTTAAATTTATAAATTCTCCAGATAAAACTGCTGTTTGTTTAAATATAAAAGTAAATAGCATGAGAGTTAAAGCTTATTATTTCGTTAGTAGACGTTAACATTTTGCAGTGTCTTTCATTGTGGCAGGCAGAATAATGGCCCCCTAAATATCCCCTCCACAATCTAATGACCAAGACCTGTAAATATATTACCTCACATGGTAAATGGATTTTTCAGACGTGACTGAGAATCTTGAGATAAATCACACTTGGAGGCATAAAAGGAAGGTCAAAGGCAGATATTATGGGAGAATAATCAGAGAGATGCAACATTTCTGGCTTTGAAGATGGATGAAAGGAACCATGAACCAAGAAATGTGGGTGCATTCTAGAAGTTGGAAAAGTCAAGGAAACAGATTCTTCCCTGGAAGCTACAGAAAGAAATGCAGCCCTGCCAACACCTTGATTTTAGCTTAGTGATATCCATGTTAGATATCTGACCTATAGAACTACAAGAAAATTAATTTGCATTGTTTCAAGCCACAAAATTTGTCATATTTTGTTACAGCAGCAATGAAACACTAATATGGTCATCAATGTAGTAGGTTCACTTTTTACATGGTGTTTTATATTATTGTCTAGCAAATAATTAACATTTGATAATTTTAGTAAAATGAATAGTAGACTTTGAGTATATTAGCTGCAGTACTATATCTTAATTAAATACTGATAATTATAATTGTTATCAGACCTCAAAAACAATGTTTTAAGACAGAATTATACATTTCATTTATAATTACTATACAGATAAATACCTAGTTGTAACACTATATATACAGGAAAAAATAGAAAGAAACATATAAACAAAGAAGGATAAAATAATCAACTTTTTCTCCGAAATAATTATACTTATATTCTGCAGTAATGGTATGAGGATAAGCAGCAAGATATATATAGCCCTTGTACCACATTGTTTTATTTTCTGAAAAGACTAGCAGTTCATTAGTTGTGAAATTCAAACTAAACTGTCATGATTAAAAGCATATTCTTTGAATACTATATGTACACAGACACACACCAATGCAAGGGTTGTTTTTTTTTTTATGTTTATTCATTTTTTGAGAGAGAGAAAGAGAGAGAGAGAGAGAGAGAGAGAGAGACAGAGCAAAAGTGGGAGAGGGGCAAAGAGAGAGGGAAACACAGAACCTGAAGCAGGCTCCAGGCTCTGAGCTGTTAGCACAGAGTCTGACACAGAGCTTAAACTCATGAACCATGAGATCATGACCTGAAGTCGGACACTTAACTGATTGAGCCACCCAGATGCTCCACCAATGCAAGGGTTTTTATATATATGGTCAAAATTATTTCTCTGCCTTTTACTGTTGTATAGCCCCAATGATTCTTTCTCAAAATATATGTATAAAATGTAGAACATTCAGTATTTGTCTTTGATTGTAACATTGGAAATTTGCTAAAAAATATATGTAATTCAATGAGCTACATTTAAGTTTCATGGGCATCTGAATGAATGGATAGGAACAAATTACAGCATTTATATGGGGCAAAAATGGAACTGAACAAACAAAATCACTCTATGGTGGCAAACAGGAATCATACACACAGTAATATATGCTGCCATAATAAAAATAGAAAAAAATTAAGTGATTCATAAAATCGATGGTTTGGAGAAGCAAGAGAATCCAACTCACAGTGGTACTTGCTCTTGTCCACTCTGCCTAATAGAAAATGAAAGCTTACTTTGATTAAAAAAAAATTGAAAGGGCATCTACATGAATATAAAATGCTATGAAAATGAGAAAAAATACAATCCTATAAAGGTGAACCCCCCAAATGTTTATTTTTTTAATTAATTTATTATTGAGACAGAGAGAGAGAGAGCAGAAGCATAGGTGGGGCAGGGTCAGAGAGAGTGGGGGAGAGAGAGAGAGAATCCCAAGCAGCTCTGCACTGTCAGCATGGAGACTGATGTGGGGCTGGAGCTCACAAACTATGAGATTGAGAGTCCTGACGTTTAACCTACTGAGCCACCCAGATGCCTCCCCCACAAATGTTTAAAATTAGCAAATGATCAAATAATATGAACTCAAGTAACTTTCTATTCAACTCCTTCTTTGACATTTTCAACATCATATTAGGTAAAACAATAAACTAACTTTGAAAACTTGATTTAGAGTGACTAACATTTTGCATGAAGTTTTATTTCTGCTTTAAGATTTTATAGTCTGCACTTTCCAAATTCAGTCAATGTTCAGTTCATTGTTATTGTTTCCCTAAGGTATCGCAGAGATCAGACTTTTTTTCACCATATAAACTGTATTAGATAAGTTTAGTGCCTTATATTGATTAAGAGTTAGGTGGGGTTAAAATGTGTGTGTGTGTGTGTAGCTGGGAATGTTTAATTTCTCTTAAAATAATTAATAGTTCTATGAACAATTTCTTTGCAAGTAAACAGATCCATTTTTCATTCCTGTAATCAGTATGCATCTATTTAGCTACTTAACTGCAATGTGCTTTGGCTCATTAGGTGGCTACTGTTGTGTCTCAGCCTATTTAAAAGTTCACAGCAAGTTAATCTGTTTTATTACAAATGAGAACGCAAGTGATAATGTCCTCATCATTTGCCAAATACAGGGTTAACAGTGTTTGCAACAAATAAATAAGGACATTTAAAAGGAAAATTGCATCTCCAAAATCCCAATCCTTTTTAGTCATTGATGACTTAATTTTATTTGCATTTATGACTTTTACAAGCCTGTTACTCTTCACGTATTTCATTTGGGCCCTTCACGTATTTCATTTGTTTTCATTTGGAAAACAGCTGTAGCTCTTCTGAAACACTACAAGTCTTCTCCAGATTCAAAGTAGCAGAGGAGAGACATTTCCAAAATTGATACATACTTACCCAATCAATTCCCCAAATCAAAGTCTATTAGTAAAATCATCTGCAATAATAATTCAGATTCTAGCATATATGTGCATAGTTCAAAAATTATTCCTAAAAATTAAAAAAAAATATAGAAAATGCTATTTACTAGTACCTATTATACCCTCTTACATCATACTCTTCCCGTTTTGGGGTGGTTTATATCACAAATGGTCAAAGGAGATGTTCTTCATATTGAATCATTTGAAAGTGTAAAAAGCAGGGTCAATATTCAGTTTTATACAAGGTGTAACACTAAGTTTGGTTTAGGATGTAGTTTATTGGCACTAAATTATCAACTCTGCTCATTTTCATGTAGATCCTTTATTTCACCTCAATATTCCTTTACATCCTTGGAAATATGGTAGTATACACAGAATGTATGAAGTATTAATACATTAATGTTAAATATGTGTTTATATGTATGTGTACATGTGTGTAGTTGTCTTTTAATAACAACTGTATTGGGGGTGCCTGACTGGCTCAGTCAGGAGAGCATGCGACGTTTGATCTCAGGGTCATGAGTTCAAGCCCCACGTTGGGCATGGAGCCTACATATCAATCAGTGTTAAATTGTTGCTTGTTAAGTTTGTTTGCTTGTTGTGCAAATTAAATGGGTACTGGTTGTTTATATCACATTTAGTTTGTGAGTACTGGAAGATAGAGATTAATTATATCTTCTTTATCTCTTTCCCATATTGTTCATTACAGCATGCATTTATCAAAGATATGACATTTGTTGAATATAAAAAGGAATAAAGGGATAAATCAATGGGTTGCTCTTACTAACTATACTCTTTTGATCCTATATACACTTATATTATCTCTTTGCCAAAATAAAATACATATTGGCTTTTTAAGCAAAGTTCACATGATACTGGGAGAGAGGGCAAAGAGATCCTATGCCAAACTAATAGAAGACATCAGGACAGATTATAAAATACTGTTTGTGTTTCAATAGCCAATGGTCATGAGATTTTGAAAAAAATAGTATTCTAATGATGATAATGATAATACTATAAATTATAATAAATATTTGTTTAATGTTTCACAGTTCTGAATTTTTTTAAAGTTTATTTGTTTTTGTGAGACAGAGCACGAGCAGGGGAGGGGCAGAGAGAGGGAGACACAGAATCTGAAGCAGGCTCCAGGCTCTGAGCTGTCAACACAGAGCTTGATATGGGGCTTGAACCCAAAAACCATGAGATCATGACCTGAGCTGAAGGTGGATGCTTAACCAACTGAGCCACCCAGGTACCCCAGTGTTTCATAGCTTTTAATCTCTATTTTACTCACATTATCTCTGGACAACCAACGAAGTAACTGGGATAGATTATTACTATGACATATCGTTTACAATTGAGGAAACAAGTTCATGCTTGTTATGACAAGGTTAAATATCATATCCAATGTTATTCAGCTAAGTAGCAGGATAAGAATTGAACCTAAGATCTTTCTGTTTACAAGTCCTGTATGGTATATACTACTCAACAATTGCCTTCCAGACACCAAAAAGGTGTACAGTGTTTATTTCACCCAGCAAAGTACTGTACTCTGCCATTACCCTTTCTATGCCTCTCACACACTGTGCTCATGACTGCAAGACATGAAGCTAGAATTAAAGGTGAGATATGTGGTCATTGAATAAAAACAAACAAACACAAACTACCTTAGCAGGAATAGTCATAAATAAAATTCATCAATATTATCTATATGCTAAGCAACTGAGTCAATGAGCCGTATGTTTATACTGAAGTTGCAGTGGTAATGTTAATATTTTCTCAAAATTTACATGTAATTAAAATCTTTGTTCTCTTCCAAATCATAATTCTTACCTTTATAACAGAGGTCCCAGCTCTGGAGAGTGGACTGTGAATCTGGGCTGCAGCAGCCATGTTGGCAATAGTATTGAGATGGTTCATCTGATTCATTGCCATGGCAACTGACGCAGGAGGTAAGCTGACTGGAAGTAGGGGATGTGGCATCATCATAAATGGCAGATCCAGTCCTAAAAGAGACAGTGTATGTTAAATTATTATATTTGTCACATTGGACAAAGGAAAATCACATCAAAATTGATACTATAGAAGTAATAAAAATGTATCTGAATTCACTCTTTCTTTTAAAGTAAGTTTTATTATACCCTAGTATCTCTTTGGGCAATTAATGGTATCTAGGATTTAATATTGCTTTATAATTTAAAAAATATTCCTATATCCATAAGCTTTTATTTATCAATATTCTTTGTTCTTGTTCTCACTCCTAAATTATTTATAAGATGAAATTTGTTTTACTCATGAAACCAAAATCTTTAAGCCAAACATCATTTTTTTAACAAGAAGTAACTTTCTTTTTAATCATTACAATATATTGATGTGTTACCAGCTTCTAACTTAACACATTTTTAGAATATATAATAGTGATGCTGGCATGACAGGATGTAGATTGTCTAGGTTTCAGAATTATTGAAGAAAATAAGACTTGGAATATGGTCTACACTTTTAGTCATATATCTCTAAAATGAATGATCTGGCTCTAATTTGAAGATTCTGTCAATAAGGAGTAATGCCCTATCAATATTCAACGTATTTTCAGTTTAATAACAAATACCAACATCATTGATTAATGTCTGGAATTCTGTTTTCTTATGCAAGGTGAAATAGTTTTCACGTATTTTAAATTTCTCAATTAATATCTTTCAAGTATTATCCACATTATACTTATGGTAGCCACAGATATGTCAACATGAAAAGGGTAACAAATTGAATTTTTTTTTCTACTTACCCCTTATGAGCTTGAGATTTGTGAGGAAACATGTTTGAACAGAGGCTAGGGAAATTTAGCCTAACATTATGGATGTTAACATCACTATGATAAGTAAACCATAACACTTTACAATATATTTTAAACTATTGCTTCAATAGTAATCTTGCCTTCATTTGGACAGAAACCGAGAAACAAGTAATCTTTAACAGATGTTCTAAAATACCCTTGCCTATAATTTTCCTAAATTATTGCAGATTATAGAAATCTACAATGGGCAGTGCTTATGTTGATCCCAAATGCAATTATCCACTATTAATAATATCCCTTGATCCTTTTTGCCATTCCCTCATTTTTTCTTGCTTTGAAAATCACAAAAACTAGTGAACAACGATGAATCTATAGAAAGTATAATTAGAATCCTCCTAAATATCATTCCTGAAAACAACAGTAACAGTAATAAAAATTGTCAAAACACATACATTTAAGAGAAAAAGCAGGCTAGACAAAAATTCTGTTAATTGATTCAAGGTTTGTCTCTTGGGCTCAACAATGATGGTTGAATAAAACCAGAAAAAATTCAAAGTTGTGCAATGTAGTAAAACACATTTAACAGGTCTCATAAAAAACTAAAGTGATCATCTCAATTAAAGGAACTCCTATATAAAGAACACAATAGTCACTAATATTTGTGATCAAAACAGCCATAAATATACTGTTATTAAAAATACACAAGGATTTAAAAATGTTAGAAACTTAAATTCTGCATGGAAACCAAGGAGAACATACTCTGTACTTTCCATGACTGCATATCCCCACAGAATATTAACAAAATATTTTAAACTTTCCCCCTATTAATTCATTTATGGCTCACTATCTCCAAATCCTTTTAAGAAGCAATCTACCAAACCAAACTTTTTAGTTATGAAAATTTACCCTGTGATTATTAATTTCCTAGAGAAGCCTCAATAAAGTGTAAGCACAGATTTAAAAAATGGTCTTCCAGGACACCTGGGTGGCTCAGTCGGTTAAGTGGCCAACTTCGGCTCAGGTCATGATCTCTCTGTCCGTGAGTTCGAGCCCCGTGTCGGGCTCTGTGCTGACAACTCAGAGCCTGGAGCCTTTTTCAGATTCTGTGCCTCCCTCTCTCTGACCCTCCCCCATTCATGCTCTGTCTCTCTCTGTCTCAAAAATAAATAAACATTAAAAAATTTAAATAAAATAAATAAATAAAATAAAAAATGGCCTTCCAAAATTACTTTGATATATATGCATTTTTATATTATACTCATCATATGACTTTGCTATAATAAGATATTGTATACCACATATTAATTTAATCACTGTTTATCTTTTCCCTGAAATCTTCACTTTATGCTTAACATAATAACCATCAACGGTGCAAATAGGTTTCTATATAAGGCTCTCATTTACCAAACATAATTATAGACTTCAATTCTTCTTTGTGTACTCAGAGTCTTAGTAGAAAATTGATAAAACTGTATATGAAAAGTAGCCATCAGTGCCTCCCTTTACCACTCATATGTTTAAGTAAGCCTTTGTTCAATTTACATTTTTCTTAACAATGTAATAATTCCTCACTCTCCAAAGATTTTCAGCATCTTTCAGACACCATCTGGCCATATCAAGTCATATGCCTACTTAAAGTCCAAATGACTTGCAAACTAAATGCAAACTATAAACAGAATTTAACATCCTATTGGCAGTTTTAAAATCCAATTAATCCAACATTTCAAATGACCATGTAGGACTTAAAATGTTACACTTTTAGATCATGACCTGCAATAACTGTTAATTGACTATAATATCCTAGACTCTAAGCTAATATTTACATCACTGGCCAGTTTAACAGTGACTCCACATGAGTTGCACATGCAAAGCATATGCAAATATGAACTATGTAAGTCAACCTTTTACCAAAGTTGAAAACATTAAATTAAGAGCCATCAAAAGTACATCACACTCCAGCAATCTGGCTCATTTTAGTCACATACCAGAAATGTATAGACTTTGAATAGTATGGTAATTAAAATCATTTTTGTAATCACCAAAATGAGTCATCTCTTTCCTATTAACCTCAAGGTCATCATGCCAGCTACTATAAGCATTATTTGTAAAGCATCTTGGTATTCCAGCAAATCTTACAACTTTTATGTAAGTAAATAGCATCACCTCTTTCTAGCTATTAAGACTATAAACTTCAGTAAAACGCTAATACTCCTAAAATCCCACACTCATTTGACATCCAAGTCATGTTGACCTCTGTAATATCTTCACATTTCTACAGTCAGCTACCAATCCTATCATAACCGTTTAGTACCCTGGCTTTCTGATTGGTTTTTCAACACCATTTCATTTGCCTCTCCACTCCAATTTTAAGACTTTCAGTGGCTACTTACTGTTTCCAAAATAAAGTATAAGCTCTTTGGTTTGTTGTGAACTGAATTTTTTAGCTTTGATATATCTTTCCCTAAATGACACATAGGTGCAATCATACACTATTTTGTGTTTTCAGACTGGCGTTTTTTCACTTATAAATATTCATTCACATTTCTTCAAAATTTTATTTTTATTTTTTTTCTACAAGTGTAGTTGACAATCCATGTTACATGTTCACAAGTTTATACATTATGCTATGTTCACTGCAAGTGTAGCTACTGTCACCATGCAACACTATTACAATGTCATGGACCACGTTCCTTATGCTGTACCTTTTATTCCTGTGATTTATTCATTACGTAATTGGAAGGCTGTATATCCCACTCCCCCTCACCTATTTTGCCCATTTCCCTCACATGGAAACCATCAGCTTGTTCATTAGTAACAAGCCTGATTCTGCTTTCCATTGGATTATTTCTCTTTTTTAAGATCCACAAATGAGTGAAATCGTATGGTATTTATCTTTCTCTGACTTATTTCACTTAACATAATACCCTTTAGGTACATCCATGCTTTACAAATGGCAAGATCTCATCCTTTTTTATGGCTTAAAAATATTATATTATGTATGTATACACACTGCATCTTCTGCATCCAATTGTCTATCAATGGATGCATTTTGCTTTCATTATTTAGGCTATAATAAATAATGCTTCAATAAATATAGTGGTGAATATAAATTTACACTTAATGTTTTGATTTTTTTGGGTAAAAATCCAGTAGAGGGATTATTGGATATGATCTTTATGGTTTAAATTTTTTGAGGAACCTCCATACTGCTTTATGAATTAGTACACAGATTTACATTTCCACCAGGAGTACACAAGGGTTCCATTTTCTCCATATCCTCACCAAACTTGTCTTTTGATACTGACCATTCTGGCATGTGTAGGGTGATATCTGTTTGTAGTTTTAATCTGCATTTCTCTGAATATTAGTGATGTTGAGCATCTTTTCATGTGTATATTGGCCACTGTAAATGCCTTTGGGAAAATGTCTATTCAGGTTCTCTGCCCATTTTATAATCATATTGTTTGCTTGCCTGTTTTTTGGTGTTGAGTCATGTAACTTCATTTTGTTTTGGTTTTAATTTAAAAATCTAGTTAGTTAACATACAGCATAATATTACTTTAAGGTGTGCGATATAGTGATTCAGCACTTCCATATATCACCTGGTGCTCATCACAACAACTGTATTCCTTAATCCCCATCACCCATTTAACCCTTCCTGCCACCAAACTCCCTTCTGGCAACCATCAGTTTGTTTTCTAGAGTTATGAATCTGTTTCTTGATTTGCCACACTCTCTCTCTTTTTATCCTCTTTGTTCATTTGTTTCTTAAATTCCACATATGAGTGAATCATGTAGTATTTGTCTTTCCCTGACTGACTACTTTACTTAGCATAATACTGTACAGTTACATGCATGTGGTTGCAAATGGCAAGATTTCATTATTTTTTTATGACTGAGTAGTATTCCATTGTACATATATATCACATCTTTTTCAATTCATCAGTTGATGGACATTTGGGCTGCTTCCATAATTTGGCTATTGTAGATAATGCTGCTATACACATCGTGCATGTATCCATTTGAATTAGTATTTTTGTATTCTTTGGGTAAATACCTAGTAGTGCAGTTGCTGGATCCTATTTTTAACCTTTTGATGAACCCCTGTACTGTTAACCAGAGTGGCTGCATGAATTTACATTTCCCACCAACACTGCAAAAGGGTTCCCATTTCTCCACATCCTCACTAACAACTGTTGTTTCTTGTGTTGTTTT